CGGATACGACAGCAGCAACATATACAGAATATGGGTTCCAGAGATGAAAGCAGTATTGAGAACAAGAGACGTGGGTTTCGATGAGTCCACCGTTTTCAAAGATGCCCAAGCCCCAAAGCCAATTCTACAGGATGAGTTCCAGGCTTTGGACGTGCCCGTTGCGGACGCCAGAATCCTTTCAATTCGTCGCTAGACATTGACGAGTTCGATATTGGCACGATCGACCTCTTCGAGAGAGCCCGGACATTCCAACTTGAAGGAAAGATCAACGCGGAGATACGACGACCTGGGGGAGTTCGCGCAGCCGGTAGAGACGATGTCCTGCCGTCACCACGTCCAACTCCAGAGACAGCGACTGGACAAGGCCAGCCAGCTGCCTCTGAGGGGGTGGAAAGATGCGGTCGGCAACATCGTTCAAAGGGGCTGAAGAGGCTGCGGATGACCCCTACCCCCGGGCTAGACACTATTCAAATGACTGACGAGGCTATTCAAGACACCATTGAAGTAGCTCAGAGCCCCGAATCAACACCTCAATATACACCAGCTGATCAAAGCTCAGCTGAAGACGAGACGGAGACTGTAGAGGCCCGGCCACTGATTGCACGCAGACCAGCCCCACAGCCGTCACCATCAACACAAATCCAAGGCACTCGAAGGAGCGCCAGAGACAGAAAGCCGTCGCAGTTCAAGGACGGCACCCCCACAGACCAGGCTCTAGGAGCCCGTGGCAGCAGGAAAATGCCTCCATCGTCACACGTGGCCATGGAATACTCATTCTTTCACACTCAGACTCCATCAAACAAGAAACCACTTCTCCGAACAGATATGCCTGCGGAGCCAAGATCCTGGAAGGAGATGCTTCGTTCTGGTCACAAGAAGCAGTGGCTGGAGGCAAGCGTACAAGAGGTCAACACCATTGAAGACATGGGCACAATTGAGCAAGTCCCCTTCGAATCGGTCGACCAGGAGGTACACAAGGTTCTCGGGTTGACATGGGTCTGGAAATACAAGGTTGACTCCGCCGGCTACGTGACCAAGTTCAAGGCCAGGCTCTGCGTTCGAGGAGACCAACAACCCAAGAATGAGATGGAAACATATGCGTCGACACTAGCAGCCAAGACGTTCAGGACGTTGATGGCCATCTGTGCAGAGTTTGACCTAGACACGCACCAGCTGGATGCCGTCAACGCCTTTCCAAATGCACACCTCGACGAGACAGTCTACGTCTGGGCACCTCAGGGCTGGGGTCTCATGCAGGACATGCAACAGAAGAAAGACACTTCACAGAGGCGCACGATTTTCAAGCTGAAGAGAGCCTTGTACGGTTTGCGCCGATCACCACTTCTCTGGCACAAGCTGTTGTCCGAAGCCATGCGGAAGATCGGCCTTGTGGCTCTCGAGGAAGACAACTGTGTTTTCATGGGCAAAGGCATGATCGTGTTCTTCTACGTGGACGACATCATTCTCATGAACCGCAAAGAGGATCGCCAAGCGGCCGAGGAGCTGAAGAACCAGCTCAAGTCTCTGTTCGAGATGCGAGAACTTGGGGAGGTCAGATGGTTCTTAGGCATCAGAGTGATTAGAGATCGTAGCCAGCGCAAGCTCTGGCTGTCTCTGGAGAACTACATCACCGAAAAGATGAAGGACCTCAACCTCCAGCCATCCACCAGAGGGCATTTGACACCTTTGTCATCAGATCCGGCACCTGCTCCAAAGGACTATGAAGCTTCTGCTGAGTCCATCCACCTATACCAACGTAAGATTGGTTCCATCAATTACGCAGCAACCACAGCACGACCTGATGTGGCCAAGGCTGCCTCGAGACTTGCAGAGTCTCTTCTCAGGCCGACAGAAATTCATCATCTTGCGGCAGATCACTGTCTCCGTTACCTCTATCGCACGAGGACCCTCTCGCCGTCCTACGGAGGATCAGGAGACTATTCCCCATCGCTGTATTGTGCTAGCGACGCATCATTCGGCGATGATCCCATCACCAGATTCAGTTCCCAAGGATATACCACCATGCTCTTTGGAGGCCCAATTGACTGGAAGGCTACAAAGCAGCGCTCTGTGGTCACCTCTAGCACCGAAGCTGAGCTGGTTGCTCTCAGTGTTGCGGCAAGGAATTACATCGCCACTCGTCGCCTGCTCAAGGAGCTTCAGCTACGTTTTAGTGGCGAGATTCCGATCCAAATGTTCTGTGACAACCGCCAAACTCTGTCGTTGCTTACCAGCGAAAGACCTCAAGCCACAACGAAGCTTAAGCACGTTGATATCCATCGTCTTTGGATCCGACAGACAGTCAGACAGGGGAAGGTCTCCGTGGACTGGGTGAGCACCGACAAAATGGTAAGCGACGGGCTTACCAAGATCCTTACAGCCCAGAAGCACCAGAACTTTGTTCAGCTCCTGAACATGGAGTGCGTACCTGCGGTCCACCAGTGAACAACGTGCTCAACGTTGGCCGCCTCCTTGACTGACGTACTTGTGACTGGCTTCACAAGTGCACTTACCTGGAGAACTTCAACCGTTCAAAAAGGGGAATTTACAACCCAAACCTTCAACAGGTTACTGCCTGACCTTCAGTTGTCCAGATGGTCAGAGACAGGCTCTCATGCCCATCTGAGGGGGTGTGTTGCCGATCAGGCATGGTCCTTTCTGCGACCCCAGGGGTACTTACACCTGTGGGTCTGCAGGATCCTCATTTGATGCATTCATTCTCTAGCTACCGCCCCGGTAGTATTCAATCCGTTCTACGGTTATTGGCAACTGGCCAATGGTCGTCCGGGAGTGACTGCAGGAAAGTCTCCTTTTGTACCATAACAACAACAATCAATCCACTTTGTTCAATTTCGTGGTGACATATGGCCATCGCCGCATATGCAGCTTCCTTTGACGTGACGGTGCTCAATCATGAAACCGCGCCAGTAATTTGACCTCATGTGGATCAAATGGAGTGATGTCCGGGCCGGAGTCAAGGCGGACATATCCGTGGACGAAGTGAAGATGCTCTGGCTCCCATCCATGAAGACCATGGCGAAACTGAGCGTACGGAGCGCTACGCAGTTCGTCGGAAATTGTCGTTTCCTTTGATCGACTTGACGAGCAAGGACCGCGTGGAAGCGGTCTACAACGTACATGGCTAGCAGTGACAACTCCAGTGTATTGATTGAAATGCTTCTCCCCGGCGACGTCGCCTTTCCTTTCCGCAAAGAGTCTTGGCAAACATGAATGTCTCGTTGATCTTGCGGACGGGAGGTGCCGGCCTCGACGTGAGCTCCTTCATAATTAGAGACTACAGTGCTTGTCTTCGCCTCTAGGGCTTGACTGATATCCCGCGTCCATGATGGCTACTATCAGCAGCAGCAGCAGCAGCAGTAGCGGAATACTCATCATCCTCACTTTACGCACCCGATTCCTATCCCCGAAGACTTCTTCACCCAGTGATGGGCATTTTCTAAGCGCCACTGGCGGGAGAGCTTTCACCCACCCGCTTTAGCAGGGCGCTTCTGGTACCTGCGGGGGCACACCGGCAGACTGCTGGGGATTTCCGAAAGCCAAAGCTGCAGGCGCGATGTCCTGTAGACAGTCAATGAGAGACCTTATTTCTTCGAGGAGAGACACTACCGATGTGACAATGGTCCCAGGTAGAACGATGCTTCCTGCACCGATGCGCACACCGGGGCAGATGAGCACCCCGGCCCCGATGGAGCAGGACGATTCGATTATGACGGGCCTGCTCTTCGCCAGCCTGTGAACACCTAGACGTCTATCACACTGGCCAGGGTCATCTGTTGTGATGATTTGGACGCCACGTGCAATTGTGGAATTCGCGCCGATCGTTACTCGTGCGCCATCGTCAAAGTAACATCGCTGTCCGATTGTGACATGTTCTCCAATCGTGATGTTATATCCGTACCTGCAATGGAATGGGGCCTCGACTGTGAAGCTTGGTACACGATGTCGAGCATCTCGATTCGTTGCGTTCGAGAGCCCCCCGGATGATGGAAAGATGATCTGGCCATACAGGAACTGCTGTATCGGTTGCACCAGCGTGGTGGGTACTACGCCGGATACGCACTCCATAACGCTATTAAATTTCTGGCAGGCGAGTGTGCAGCGGGTGCAGTCGTCAATAAGCTTCTGCTCTCCTTCGCAGTAGACACTTTCCCCTGCGTAAGGAAGAGTGGCCGTGGGGAGCGGAAAGTCATGACCGATCCAGTCTCCGTTTATCTCTTCGTCTTCGATGCCGATCTCCCGTAGGTCCCTTTCGCTTGGCCAGGAATCCGGACAGGCCAGTGGTTGTTGGATAGTGCTCGATTGAAAGACATGAGGGTGTCTCCTCGCATTCTGGGCTGGGAGAGATGTCCTGCATGTGAAGGCGGATTGGAATGCTATGTCAGGCGCGGTCTGTGTACTTTCTGGCGCTGTTGAGACGTCTTGGTATTCTTTGCCTGCCTCTATGTTCTTTGCCCTCTCGGTCGACGAGCTTGCTTGAGCCGGGCTGGGTTGCGAGCCATGCTCGTGGCTCATCGTCGTCAAAGCTGGATTGATCGAACCGGACATGGGAAAGCTTGGTAGGTCGGGCGGCATATCGAAATCACAGAGGTTGGTTGGCGAGGGTATGAAGTTAGAAAATCAAGTTCTGTTCGGAAGCTGGTGTACGCTGCGGACAGCCGCCTTTTATAGAGAGATATTCGTGGTCCTGCTCTGAAGCTGACCTGACGTACCAGCACTTTTGGTTGCATGTGAATCTGGTCGCCCCTATCTCGAGGACTAGACCTTCAGTAGGTTCACACACAGCAGTGGCACCCACAGAGGCGCATGGCGCTTGGTCAGCTTGACCATAGGCCTCCATAGTCCTGACTTTTCTTTTCCTCTTGTCTTTTTTTCTTGTTCTCGGCTGTGATGTCCCTATACTCAGTCATCCTCAGCTCGCCCTGTCTCTACGTCCCGTCTTCCTGCTTTTCCCTCCACTTTGCCCTCTCCGCGTCTACTTCGCGAGTCACCATGTTCATCACCAGGTCAGCGACAGGACATCAAGGTCCTCTTCTACCCTTCTTCCCTGCCTCAGGCATTCCACAAGCCACTGGTGGTTGACGAGATGGAAGGCCTTGTCCTCATCGCTTTTCGCCCGATCGAGGACATTTCTCACGTAAATGCCTTGATGACGAATCTCCTCCTCGGTCGCGCAAAGGTGTGTCAGGGTGTGGATAGGCTCGCTAGCCTGATCGCAAATTCCCCCCAGATTGACGATATTCTCTTCGACAAGCTTGAAACCAGGAACGCCACGAGATCGCGGATAGCTGGATGTGAAAGCAATCACGCACCCCCGCAACGGAGCGGCGTGTGCACACAATGCAGCAAGGTCGTAGTCGCAACTATCCACGAACCTGCCCAGGGCGTAAGAATCTTCTAGCCAGCCCAGAGTGACAAGAACGATGTTCCTCGCCCTTGCCGTTCTGACATCGTGGCTCGAGGAATAGTACTGGCTCGGCTCAATGCAAACGTGCGTCGTTGTCGAGCCGACATGCTTTTGATAGGTCCCGCCAAGCGACTGAATCCAAAGCTTTGTGAGTTGCATGCTCACCTGTTGCGGAAGTGGACAGGCAATCATGACCTTGACCGGACCTCAGAAGCATTGGCCTCTCGCCTCGTGGACGACAAGCGGAAGGGGGGCACTCATGACGCGTGGACGGTCCTGCTCTGCGCTACGAATGTCTGTGTGCTTCTGACCGGCTGTTGACTGCAAGGCACATACCGTCCGCGCCTCACCACACACCTCAAAGAGCAGAAAAATAAATGCATGACAGTACAAGCCTAACTTTGACAAGCAAATTACGAACAATGCCGTCCACCGCGCTTCCGATCTGAAGTCGAATCAGACAGCACGTGGTCTGTGCGCTCACTGTCGCTGCCCGGTCGGCCAATGCCTGCTTTTGTCCGCTCGGCGGGCCGGGTCTAATCGCTCAATTCGCCTTCGGCGTTTCACCATTCGTCCGCGTGCGCAAGCCGCTAGATTCATCTTGGAAGATGACGACTGACTTCCTGCTCGTCGTTTAGAGGCCATGGTCGAAACACACTTCTGCGTGATGGGTTTGCGGCGAACATAAGGGCCAAGAGAATGTCTGCTTCTGCACAGCGATCTGTCTACAAGATGAGGGTTTGTCGCGAATGCGCGTCAAAGACGGCCTGACTGCCAGCCTGCCAGCTGAAGACTGCCCGACTGCCAGACCATGGCCTACTAACATTCCCGCACCAATTAAACATGTTTCCGGCACTGAATATCGCCGTGAGCTGCCCACTGCCTAATGAGATCTCTCTAGAGAAGGTCAAGACCTGGATTTATAGGCTCGGCGGGAGCTACCATGAGCAGGTTCACGAAACGACGCATCTCTTGTGTTCTACGAACCACCGCATTCGATATTTGCACGAGGATGCCTTCCGAGCCATGCAGCTGCGGGCGGCTATCGTTCCTTTTGAATGGCTCCAAGGATCATACGACCAAGGCAAGTTTCTGCCCGTGTCACATTATCTTTTGAGTACGCGGCGGAATCCAAAATATGCTCCGCTCACAGGCTGCGTCATCGCGTTCACGAGCAGCTTCCCTTTGCCCAAAGGCAGTGAGAGCTACGACAGCGTGCGCAACGCCATTGTCAGGCTAGGCGGTACTCACAGGACTGATATACGGCCAAATATCTTGACGCACTTCTGCATCACAGAGAAAGAACTCGATCGGTCTGGCCCTCTCGTCGAGCGGGTCGTCAGGCATGCTCTGCGGCCCGATCGGGAACCTCTCTGGATAGTCAGTTGTCAGTGGTTGACCGAATGTATAGAGCAACACGACCGGGTTGACGAAGGCTGGTATACGTTCTCGAGGTATAGTTCTGGTGGGGGCACAGATCACCCCGGCGGTGAGGTCATGTCGAAGGATGTGGAGAGCGAGGAGTCGACATAGTATGGCGAGAGGGTCAGTAGTCATAGCGCAAGAAGCTTCATTTGGCATCTCTCCTTGATGCAGTTGTCTAACGATGCTGCCTACCGTGACCATCCTGGTTGTTTGTCGTTGTCTTGCCGTCCTGTGGCCGTTCCCCATCGGGGCATATTAACATGCCAGCCAGCTGCAGAGAAACGAGCATGCAAAGGAACCCACGGCACAGACTCGGCACAGACTCAATGGGTGCTGCTCCTTGGTAGCTTCTGTCCAGCAAATTGATGATCCCTGTGAAGGAGAGAGTGTTTTTTTTTTGATGGATGTGGATATCAGTTCAACTGCTTACGCGCCAACATGAAGTCAGGACCATCCCGGACACTCAGCAGCATGCGAACAACGAACAGGTATTGCATACATGTCAGACGACGAAGATGACGAAGAATGCGCAAGGAAATACAGCGAGTCTTGTGGTCGTCGTCCATACAGAGCTATACGTCTCTGCCCTGTGACGCTTCACCAGATAACGCGCACTTCTGGTGACCTTCGCCCAGAAATACAGAGTTCAGCCCAATACCAAACTTAGCCGAATACTAAGCTAAGCCGAATATCAAGCTTAGCCGAATACCAAGTTCAGCGTCCGCACGGGACTACAAGAGATTGCTGGCGGGTGCCCAGGCCCGTATGATCCGTTACTCCGTCAGGCTTCCACTCAACAGCTCGATAGCCTCATAATCAAACGGATGACTTTCCCCAACGGCGAGCAGCAGGTCGTGTGCCATCTCGCGACTGATCGCCAGCCTCTTTCCGCGAATCTCGTCCCGGCCGCAGAAAACCTCTTGATCTGCGTGCCAAGACAGCCGGACAGCATAGCTGGCGGCGCCGCCCGGGCGGACGTCCATCCAGCACGGTGTCTCCGTGATACTTCCGGGTTCAAGCTCGACCCTTTCCAGGCCGGCGTCGGACACCCAGACATGACTTCTTCGCTGAGGTGTGAACACGAGCTTCTTGCTGTTCCTTTGGAAGGCAGCTGCCGATGCCAGGAAAAAACTCTTCACCGGCTCTGCGCTGCTGTGGCGTGCGTTGTCGGTTCGACGAGCGTCGTCGTTTTTTGCATGCTCCCTGCCGTTCTTGAACTGACCCCTGCCCGGTTTCCTTTGCTGCGTCTTTGGTGCGGGCTTCCCTCCCATCTTTTGTCCCACGCACTGACTCGCCGCTGCGGGCGGGTCGTGTTTGCCCGCGCCTCACGGGGCTTTCCATGGCTCCGTAGTGGTCGGCCTTTGCTTTGAGTCGCTAGGGGCGGTTGTTGGGGACGGCGGCCGCCGCCGCAGAGATGACGGCCAACGACATTGATGCCGCGCCATCGTGGATAGAAGGGGCGGCACACCGTTACAGAGCAGACCTCGATCGGCTGACGTCGCCGGCGTGCTGACTAGTGATGTTGGCGAGACAGACGAGCCCGAGGCCTGCTCAGCGCGTCGCCTTGCGTCAAGCTCGTCAAACGCATCCTCTAGGGACGCTGCGTCCAAGGGCTCCATGTCCAGATCCAGAGTCCTTTCGGCAAGGCAGACATCAGGCGGAGTGAGTTCTGTGCTTGGTGGTGTCGAACAGTCCAGCTGCGTAGTGTCCACGATGTCCCAGCTGCGCTGCTGTAATACTGGCGCGTCGTATCCATCGCTGCTGCACAGGCAAATGCCGCTGACAGCGTATGCCGCAGCGAATGCCGCATCGCTGCAAGCACCGCATTGCATGGAGTCCGTCAGGCCGAAAGGAGTCTCATGTGTGGTGAGGCTGGCCCACGATGCGTCATGCAACGCCTGGGCCGCAGACAATATCGTATCCCCCTCATAACATGCCTGCGAGTCTTGCGTCTCGTTGTCCAGGATGATGCTTGGCGAAAGATATTCTTGAGGAGGTTCGGCGGCGTTCCCAGCGTTCCCAGCGTCTCCAGCATCGTGCATCTGAATCAAGGCTGCCGCGGCAAATCGTTTTGCTTCGGCCGTACATTCTCCCAGCGGACCGGCGGGCACGCCCATATCCAGGGAGGCAGGGTGGAGAGTCGGCGGTAGAGTAGCCATGTGGTAGAAGGACTAGAGAAATGATATGGACGGACCTGAGCCACCACAAAGCAAGGGGTGGTTGAAAGAGGGAAGAGATGTTGCGAGGCCTTTGTGCAGGGTATAACTGAGGGACTTTTGTATAGATATGTAGGTAAGCAGAGATGACGGGCGCGATGAAGACGGCAAACCGGGTGGAACGAGTCCCAATTTATACTGTTTGCTTGCCACTGGCCATATAGTCGCGCATAGTCTCGCGTAGTCCCTCAACACAACCAAAGCATGCGCATCGATGTGGAAAAACAAGGAACGTGTAACAAGGGACGTGTAGACGGCGTGTAGTCCAGACCCTATAGACCATGGCGTGCTGGCCACCTGCGTGAGGGATCGTCTGGCATGGCGCAGAGCGAGGGCTGGGGTCAAGGAGCACGAGACGTCAGCACGGCATCTCTCGAGGAGCACGAGACGCAAGCACGGCATCTCCCAAGGCACTCGTGCGGAGTAGCCAGGCCGCGACCTGGATGATGATTCGAGGGTTGGTGCGATGTGGCCATGTTGTGACGTATCTCGGCAAGGAGCATCGTCGGAACGCAGAGGAAGGCGGCAGAGGCTCGGCGCCAGCACAGGTCAAGGCAGAAGTGGCGAGGCCGACTCGGACGGATCACACCAGTCCCGCACGACAGGCCAAAGGGCATGATCGAGTTTGTCGTCTATTCCTTGTGGCTCGTTGGCCTAGGCGGAAGCAGAAGCGGCTTCACAGAAGCGGCGTCATGGAAGCGGCGTCAAGGAAGCGGCATCACTATCCCCATACATCCCCCCTTTTCCTGACTTTTCCACTTGTCACCCTTCCACCCCCCCCGTTACCTCCCATAGCCCTCCACACTCAGCCAATTAGGGCCGCTACCGTCCTACGGCGCACGTTGGACGATCCATCGGGGACGTAGCCGTCTCTCGAATCAAGTCGCGACGCATCTAGGCCTGGCCATAATTTCCAGCTGTGCCACCATGTGAGGCTGCCAGCCGTGGCTGCCGGCCGGTCCGGAGGCCAAGTGGCACATGTATGTATATGAAAGGACTTGGTATCCTTTTGCAGTGCATGCCTGTTACCAGGATGGTTCCCCTACCTATTCTTCCCTCTAGAGCTCTTCTTCGCCCACACGGTCTTCACCCACTAGCACACCGCTGACCATACCATTCATGGCGAAGATGACACACATGGCATCCGCTATGACCAGCATGACACCCAATGGCTCCCGCAAGCTCACTTCTGACGGCACCGTCGTCCAACACGGGTCTTTATGTCGCCTCCCTCCCGAGCTCCTCAACGGAATCATCAGCCGCTGTGGCCCAACGTCCACGTCGGCGCTCCTACGAAGCTGCAAGCAGCTGCTAGATGCCTATACCCCCTTTTTATAGGCATACGACGTTCGATACTCGCGTGCCTCGTCCACCGTCTGGGCAGCGCGTTGCCAAGAAGACGATGTCGCCATTTCGGTCCTGAACAAGGCTATCGTGGCAGGCGCGGATTTACGAAAGCAACATGAGATTTCCTCGAGGAATTCGAACACCTACGCCTACCGCAAATGGTCTACCGAGATCGCTTTTTCTCGGCGCAATCTCAACTGAGGGACATGTATCCTGAATCTGCTGCAATCTCTTGCCTCGAACTTCTCGTCGAAGAGGGTCGAGATACCGTGGTTCTCCACTTGCTGCAGCATGGTTTTCATCCACACCATATGCTGACGTCTCGCATCCTGAACCTCGTTTCCGGCACCCACGGCTCTTCGCCGCATCTGACCGACATCAACCCCCTCCATATTTCGGCGGCCATGGGCCTACAGAAGGTGGCTGCCCTTTTGATTGGCCAGCATGGCACTCACGTCGACTTCAGAGACAGCTGCGGCTACACGCCGTTGTCGTACGCCATACGCTCGCCGTTCGCCGATGACGAGATGATATCTGAGCTGATCCTCTGTGGTGCCGACCTCATGCAGGAGGTGCCACATGGCGGCATACAAGTGTCTATTCTGGAGTACGCCTGCCATGCCGGCCGGTTCACCGCTGCTCTTCACATCCTCGACGCGCTCGAGTTATCTGACGTGCCTTTCGCTTACGACCCAGCTCTTCGGGTTACTATACCAATGCCCTGCTTTCAAACGAAAGGCCAGACTTCGCATACCAAAAAGATCCTGGTCAGCAAGCTCTTGGGACGTGGAGCGAACCCAAACGCGATCGTTCGTTCTTCCGGAGCCCCTCTCTTGACGCATCTGGTTCGGAACCATCCCACGGCCGTCGACTTTCTCCTGGCCCTGCCAGGCGTCCTCGTTGATACACCCGATGAAAGCGGCCACACTGCTTTGGCCTATGCTCTATCACCTAGAACGCAACCTTCGCCGGTGTATCTGAAGGTCGCTGTGTCTCTTCTAGCTCACAAGGCGACCTTGACGACGACTATGACAAAGTGGATTTTGGACGGCACACGTTGCATAAGCACCATGCGACACATGAAAAAAACGCTCGAGAGAGGACCACGTCTACTAGATTTCTTCCGACTTTTCTATGGCCATTGCATCGAGGTTCCCCAGTGGCAGCGCACCCATGCCCAGCAGTATTTTCTAGCCGAGGCGCCCGAATGGACTGTTCATCTGACCTGCAGAAAGAAGAGCAAAGGACTATGGACACGGAGAGTGGTGGAAAGCAAGGTGAACAAGTATTTTGATCTCAAGATAGTGCCTAGAGGCTCCGCGATGTCTCTCTCTGCTCCGGTGCAATATCTGGAACCCTCCAACGACGAGGCGCCGACGGTAGGTGAGGGGGAGGCGCCTACCCAGCTGCAGATACCAGAATCACTCTATCTGTCTCCCCGGATTGCCTCTCTAGTTGGGATCGTATCGTGGCGATTGGCCACATGCTTCTCCCCCGA